GCTGCTCTTGACCTCTCTCTCCATGTTCTCTTTCTTTTTATGTCTCTGGCTCCTCCTGTCTCAAGCTCTGCCCTTTCTCCCCATTAACCTGTCACAGCTCTGCAGGGCCTGGGCAGCCCTGCCTAAAAGAAATGCAATGCCTACCACAGATGTAAATGTAACTTCTGCTACCTGTATTAAAAATGAAGAGGAAATGAGCAAAAGTAACAGAGTTTTGTTGAACGCAGCATATCTGAGCTATTATATCATTTTTATCTAAGATCAGTGTAAAAATAGTGATATTTTTACATTGCTTTTGTTTGTGCATGTGGGGTATTTTGTCTTTTGAAACAGGTTCTCCTATATTGCATGCAGGCTGCCTACTCACTATATAGTTGAGGATGACCTTGAACTTTCGATCCTCCTGCCTCCATCTCCTAAGTACTAGGATTAACAGTTGTGTGCCTCCATGCATGGTTTATGTGGTTCTAGGGATAAACCCAGGGCTTTGAGCATGCTAGGCAAGCGCCGTATCCACTGAGCCACATACCCAGTATCTTATATGACTTTTGAAAAAAGGAAATATTTACAGTCCAAGGTGTGCTTTTCAGTCCCGGCACACATCTCAAGAGCTCCTGTGCTACCCATGGAGTTTTTAGGTAGATTTGTGCGTGTAACTGTTCCTCATTTTACCCAGGTCAGCATCCCAGGTATTTTAGCATTGCAAGTAAATTTCAGAAAAATAATTGATGGGTCTGGATCAGCCATTGGAGATAGTAGGTCATGGTGATGGTGTTCTAGTTTCCTCTGCTTAGCAGAGTGATAATTCAAAGAGGTCCAACCTGCACCAGTATGTTCAGAGAAGGCTAGCCCACTGCGGCCTTTATAAATGAGCCTTCCGACACTTCCTTCCCAAATAGAACAGGGTTGCCTCCAAAACTATGAATGGCACATCATGTGCCTGGAATTCTGCCTCAACCCCAACACAGCAGTGTATGTTTCCGAAGAGTGAAGAGAGAAGATGCCCCACCCACAGCCCAGCTAATGGTCATTAGCTCAGGGCTCCAGCAGAAACATGGTGACAGTAGAGTTAAAGGAAGAATGTTCAAGACAGAGTTAAAGTCTATTAAGATCTAGTTGCTAGATTGCACTCCTGGGCCAAAGTACAAGAAGAGACTGGGTCTCCCAGGGAATTTCCTCCAGACCTCACAGAACACTGGGGCAAGTCGTTCTCCACTCATGCCCAGTGGGAGCTTTCTGTATTATAGCAGTGGAGCCATTCTCGCAGTGACACGCAGCCTGCATGGTGCTTCAAACCAAGTGAAGACCAAGACTGCCGAGCAGCTAGTTCTCTCACAGGGCCTATGCTGTTCTTGATCTTTTCTCTCCCTGGTAGACAGCAGCAGCCCTTCGACTTCCCTTGGTGCTGCCCGGGCTGACACTATGCCTCTCCCCTTCCCTGCTCTGCTGAGCAATCACAGTGCCTCATGGTACAGCTGCAGGCAGTACCACTCCCCACCCCCTCCTGCTTTTTTTGTGGTCTCCTCCTTTGTGACTGCTACAGCATATGTTTTATTAAAAGGGAAAGAGAAGAGGAGACAAGAGGTTATGTACATGGGCATGCTCAAGAATCTTAAGATTGAAAATCTTCTGCTCAATGCTAAATGCCTAAGGGCTTTGGCATTTTGCCGGCTCCAAGTAAACCCCAAGAGGAACATTTGGGTGGAGAAATAGGAAATGGAGAAAATCAAAGCTCCCTCTTAAGTGATTCTGATTCTAAAACACAAGAAGATTTTTCTGGTGCTCTCTTGAAATTTGCCTGCTTTCCCCAACATCCTTATTCAGATTTTTGGATATAAAGTTGATGGGTTCTCTGACCTTGAGTAATGCTTTCCCCATTGTATGTGGGTTAGACCTGAGAGTGGGTGGATGGCTAGGTAACATTTTCAATGCCTAATGAGATGGCCAGTATTTTAAAGCCCACTGTCTGGGGTCCTAGGCCAACTTCTGATAGGCCATACATGTTTAATGTAATTAACCCAGACATGTAGGATTTCTAGATTGCAAAAGGAGAGGTGGCCCCAAAGAACCGTGCAAACCGAGATGTTTCCAGCTTGTCACCTGTGCTCAGCAAGTGACTCCATCAGCTGGAACACTTTATCCCCTCTCTGCCTACCCAGTAGTTTCCCACCCCAACTCTCATAGCTCAATTCTAATTCTCCTTCCTTGATATAAAGATAGCTCTTATTATTAGTAAAGATCAATGCCTGGTTAATAATGTCAGTCTTTTGACTTCTCTTGCATTGAACTTCTGTTGAGAACTTACATCATCATTTACCTTTGCCCAGGCATAGGCCCATTCTCCCAATTAGACTCCAAAATTGCGAAGGACAAAGTTTCCTGAGATTTTATTCCTCACTAATCTGACATTCTGATAGAAGAGGAGCCCCAGATCACACCACAGCCTCCCAGCCTTGTAAAGTATAAAGCCACCAAATCAGATCGCAGTCATTGAGATGAAACTATGCCTTAGAAGAAACCCATGGGGCTGAGGTTAATGAAGGAGCAAATAAAACCCAGACCCCCTTCCATGACTTCCCCTATTGATGTGTGTCCCAGGTGAGACAGAGATCCTCCTGGGGTCTCTTTGCTGCCCTTTCCAAGAAGAAGGCTGAAATCATTCCAGCTCTACATCTTAGGGTAACCAAAGGCAAATGAGACAATAAGGCATGTGAGGTTCACTTAGAGGGCCTCTGTATACGTGCTCCCAGCTCTTCGGGAAAGGGTGCCTTTACAAAATGTATGCAAGGACTTATTATTTAGGGAAAACAATTGAATTTCCAGAAATAACACCACATTGTGTTTGCTTAAACACTAGCCAGGAGCCTGAAGATGGAACATTCCAGTCAGCAGAATGTGCCCACACAAGGTCTCCAGTCCCTTCAGGTTACCTCTTGTTTGTGAGTGGAGAGGGATCCTGGAGCATTCTCTTAGGTGGTGCTCCCCAGGTGCTAGCCTGTACCTTGGGGAAGGGGATCAGGAGGAGCTGATGACGCAGGGAGGTTCTGTGCCCTCTGGCTTTTCTCAGTAAACAACCTGTAGGGAGGCCAGATGGGAACACTCAGAAGGAGATGTTGATGTCCAAGAAGAGGAGGAGTTCCCCCTCCTCAAAACCAGGCCAACACAAGGAGGATAGGGTCCTTCTGTCCTCCCAAGATTTTCCTTCCTCACTCCTTCTTGTTTGCATACTGTAGCACATACCACTCCATTCTGGGAGAAGAGAGCCAACTCTATTTTTTTTTTTTTTTTGGTGAGGAGAGAGAAGTAAGAGTCAAGAATGCTTCTGGCTTCCCCAAGGCTGCAGCCCAGCTGTCAAACCCCTTAAAGCCAGCTGGTTTCCAGCAGCAAAGAGTCTGGTCGGATGTCTGCTCTCTTATCCTCAAACACAGCACCCTTACTCTGCATCTTTTCAGATCATATCCTTCCTCACAGGAGCAAAGCATGCATCTTTTCCCAGAGCAGGTAGCAGCTATGGTACTGGTAAGCTAGGATCACTGTGGCAGCATTGCTTGGTCATGCTCTCAAAGCTACACAGCAACTCATTCCAGGTGAGAAGAAATTCCAGAGAGTCATGTCATAAACAAAAAACATGCCCACACCTGTGAGAAATCAAGAGGGGGGGTGGAACCCACAGATTCCACCATCACTTAGCTCTTCCCTGATGTCATCAGACTGCCCCCCAGGGGATTTAGTAGAATCCTTTAGCTGCCTGGTTAATACAGGCATCACGTATGTTCTAGGAGCATGGACAGGGGGTGAGGAAAGGAAAGGTATCAACGTGCACATGTCTAGGGAAGATCTGGGGAGAAATACTTGACTCACGGCACACATTTAATTCTTCTCATTGGCCTATGCTCACATACCCAGATCTGATTTTATAACTGAGAGTCTCTTAGCACGTTTGTTCCTGCTCAGGGCAACCCGCTCCCAGGACAGGGGAAAGCACACATACACCTCTTTGCAGAGAGGCCTTCTCAGTCACCTTACAATGCATCCAACTGATGGCTAGTTAATCTTTGGCTTAGATCTATATGCCCCGGATAAATATGTGCCACGCAGAAGGACTGCTTGGTGAAGAGAGAACTCCTCTGGGCTGGAAGAGGAGTGCACAAGTTCATCCTCCTACTGGGCAGGGACACTCCAGGCATCCTGGGCAGGGGCTATGCACAGATGCTCAGTGTTTCTGGGAGCAGCCAGCTTCCTGCATACAGCTGTGAACACACACACACACACACACACACACACACACACACACACGCCTGTGTGTGAACAGGAAGAACAATCTGATATTTGGTATCAGGAGACCCTTCCCTTCATCACAGCGACAATCCTCCCCTCCCCTTAGTGTTTCCAGGACACTACCAGGATTGACCCAATCAATTGGGGCTTCTGTTATAGCACCCAAAGGAGAATAAGGGATTCACTCTCAGGCATTATTTTTCCCCCCTCGTTACATGTTCATGGAAGAAACAGACTGTCCTCTAAAGCATGCTACAGGGGTTTATGAACATATGAATACAGTTGTATTGCACAGTACAATACCAGGTCTTTGGGGTCCTCCCCAAACACGGTGAGCCTCGTGCAGTTTTGTCCAGCATCAGCTAGGCAAGCAAAAGTCCTCGTCATCCTCTGCAATTATGGAGCCCGAGTGAATTTTCCGAAGCCAACGGGAGTTGCACTAACTTTGAGGACTTAAACCAGGCAAAAACCAATATAGGTCAGGCAGAGTGTCCGAGCTCTGTGACAGCCTTGCAACACCAGGAGGCAACACCGGAGTCAGCTCAAACGCAAAGTCCACTGCTAAGCTCCATCTGACAGAAACTAAGGGATGGAGTGGGAATTATTCCTCTTGCTTGCAATTGCCAGGCACCAGACAAGAGGACTGAATGAGGGCTCATCACAATTACAATAAAAAGGGGGTACAGAAAAACCCAGGGGATACAGATCCCCTGTACGGTTACCTTGAATCCTTGCAAGAGCCCTTCTTGCTGTATCAGCTGCTCCCCAAACCACCAAGGACCGCGAGGAGACTCCTAAAAGACGCCCGATTTTTGTGCAACATCTCCAGTGGCAGCCTTCCAAAGTTTTTACTTCATGATTTCTTGTGGCTCTTTCTCCTTTGGGGAATTGCGAATGCCTCCCCCTCAGCTTGTGAGAGGGAACGGATGTCTTTTTTCAAATTCCCCAGCTCTGGGCTTTGCAGTTGCCGCCGCCACCGCGGCGGCGGTTAGACCACTTGCCTGCTGCCTTTCCGCGGAGCAGCGAGCATCCCAGGCACCCACAGCATCTGCGAAGTGGGATCGAAGCAAGCCCGGGTCGCACGCGGCGTGGGAGAGGTGAGGAAAGTGGGAAGCCAACTGAGGAGTCCCCTGTCCCTCGACCGAGATGAAACGCGAGATCTTGCCTTTTTTTTTTTCTTTTTTCCCCCTCCAACTCTAATGACACTCACCAGCCCTGACATCCGAAATCTGAGCCTTGCACATGGGCAGAAACGGTTCCTCCAGCGTCTGGGCTCCCTTGGCTGCCTGAGGACCCGCGGGTGTCCTCGGAGCGCGCGGCAGGTGCATTCCCCAAGTCCTCCCGAAGCCGCCGAGCTCAGCGGAGGCGCTGCGGGACAAGCCGCTAGTCGCTCGGCAGGCTGGCGGATTCCATCCTAGGACTGCAGCTCGGCGCGTCCCTACTCCGACTTCCCGATCGTACCTAACCAGTGTCACCTGCAGACTCAGACACCAGATGAGTGTCTTAAGATAACAATGCTGCCCTGCCTGCCTCTCTCCTTCTTTCTTATGCACGTAGGTTGGCAGCCAATAGGACCCTGCGCCACACTCCCCACAGGCGCCCATTGGCTGGGCAGCCTGGGAGGGGGCGGGTTCTGAGGCCTACCGGCAATCTCCTTTGGGTAGCTGGCAGACTGGGGGTACCAGCTCTGTTAACCCTCCCAGCTTTGCAGCAGCGACTCCCCCCTCCCCCTAGCCCCCCACCTCCCAGCGAGGATAAGGGAGCATTGGATAAATTCGCGGCTGCGTGTGGGGTTGGGAGTGAGGGTTGGAGAGTGTCAGAGGCTGAGAAACAAGAAGTAGACAGGAAACTAATTACATTTTCTTCAATCTTCTGAGTTACAATCATCATTTGTCCCAGCCCATTTTGTTTGCTTGCTTAACCAGAACTCCCAGAGATGGGGACCCATTTGAGACATTTTCCTTCTAATTCGAGGTTTCATTTGGTTGTTCTGTGCTTTTTAAGCTTCCTGAATTACTTAATTAGAAGTGAGCCCCCAAGTGAGAAACATCACACACACACACACACACACACACACACACACACACACACACACAC